TACCTATTCATAAATTAATAAGTAAATTACCTATCTATCTATTTATCTATCTATGTATCAATTTTAAATAATAATATATAAATATATAATATATAATTAAAACAATTTCAACCAGCAGCCACGGTAGCAAAATAGTGCAAAACATAACAAATTAAACATTATTTACCAAAATAAAGAATGTAGTAGTAAAAGATAAATATTTGCTTACTTACTCATTTGCTTATTTTACAGGCATTGTAGCAAAGTAGATTCAAATTGGAATGCAAAAAATGCAATGAGAACATATACACAAATAATTATGTATATTTGTATGTATTTTTACCAACATAAAAATATAAAATAATTAACAGATAATTTATTTACATTGATTGATTATTTTATTTATTTATTTGAAAAATCATTGTAATATTGTAAATGTTGTGGCATGTTTTGCTACAATATTGTAAACCGTTTTAAGTCAGAGACACTATTATTTAAAAGGCAAATTAAAAGTGCATTAAAATCACTGCAATAGTTACAACGTTGTATCAAAATCATGTAAAATGGAGCTTTAAAATTGTATGCTTGTGGTTTCGTGCTAACCAGGGCAGAAGTACTGTATGTAAGACACTGTGTTTCCAGTCCATCTTTTGAAAAGTTTCTAGTTTCAGGACAAAATGTTTTCTTCAGACAGTGACAGTATGTCATGCTGTGTGTCATTGAAGACAAAATCAGATTTTTATGCTGACAGAACAAAACACTTTTCTCCTCCTTTTTTGAGCAGGTCTTGATATCAGAAGGACTGGGTCGATATGCCAAGGATCCAAAGTTCGTGGCCGCCACGAAGCACGAGATCGCAGACGCATGCGAGATGACCATCGACGAAATGGAGAGCGCCGCCAGCCATCTCCTGAACGGCGGCATTACGCCGAGTGCCAACGGCGTCACTGTCTTTCCCATAATGGGCCACAGAGACTACGAGCTGCAAGATGTCTCCGCTAGCTACAGTGATGAGGAACCAGAACCCGAACCCAGACCGCAGTATGAGGAGGACCTGGCAGACGAAATGATATGCATTACCACTTTATAGCACCTGATAAGCGGCTACTGCTGTTCCTCAGAAAGTGATCAGCAAAACAAACAAATCGAATTATAGTATATTTACTGGCTTGCTACCTAAAGAAGTGCCTTTACAGCAGAGCAGAAAGGCACCACAAGAACGGACACATCGGTGACACTCGCTCACTTCCTGTTCACACAGGAATTTGGCAGTCGTGGCACCAGGGAGGAGCTAAGAATCTCTGGAGGTAAACTTTAATTGGCTGCTTGTACCGTCACTGCAGGAAATGGACCAATGAGCAGTCACAGAGCAGATGGCATAAAATGCCTAAAATAAAAGTCCTGTTCTGGGTGAAAATAAAAGAATTTGGAAAGTTAATTAAGAAGTAGTAAGAATTCGAATTGGAAATTTAAGGGTGAGCAAATAATGACACAATTTTCATTTTTGGGTGCACTGTCCCTTTAAGCAGGACAAGAAACTAGTTAAGCAATACTTCCCCCCTCTTTTTTAATTTTTTTTATTTTACTCTTTCTTTCTTTCTTTCCACCTCTCACTTCATCTCTGGGTTCTGGAAATACCTCTTTTAGTGCAGGGGAAACATATCAACATTTGAAGCGTCCTTTTTGTTGTGTCCTTTTTCTTCTTCTTTTTTGCCTATAAGGTGTTGAAAATCTATACTTAGGTCTCAATTTGGGATACATAAATTCATTTGACCTTTTGTCATTTCTAACAGGCAAATTAATGCTGAGCATTATGGGCATAAAATGGACAAAAAAAAAGTTTGACTGCAAAGGCCACTGCTTTGAAGTGTAAAGCTTCAGTACAGCTTAAATAAAGGGAAATGTGGGGTTTGTTGGAATTCTTGTTCTTGAGTGTTATTGATCTCTTGTGTTTTGAAAGAGTACTGTGCTTTTCAGTCAACCGAATACTGTCATGAAACACTGCGTGTGCACATCTGAAAGGGCTCTCTGAAATGATCCGTGCGGAAAAAAAAAAAGAAATGTTGTGTTCTGGTCTTTGTGTCAATTATACTGTATCTTGTAAACGGACCAATGCACATTCTTGGCACATTGTACTATTCGTAGCAATTACTGGTAAGGACAATAAAATATGCATTATTTTTAATAAACTAAGAAAAAACTTGTTAAACTAAAGATTTAACTTTTACCTCGTGTCAGATACTCCTGAAAAGAAAGAAAAAAATGGTTTCTTAATATACCAATGGGATTTTATTATTAGCACATTGCTGTTCGTCTTTGCACAAATTACTGTAACGTGCAATTTGTTTTCCCTGTTTTCTATTCATATTTTGTGTATCAAGGTGGGCGAATTTTGTACTTTTTTCTGTGACTGTGCGTACGGTTTAGTGAAATCTATATTTGTCATTTACATTTCACCTTTCAGTGCTGGGACAAACAGAAGGGAGGGGGGAAAGGTGCACTCCTCTGTATTGTTAATGTTGATTTATTGACAAAAAAAAGTATTATACAAGTTTTCAGAGCCACATCTGTTGATTATCACATTTTCATCTAGAGTTGTTGCTACTACTATTATACTTTTTATTATTAATGCTGTAAGGAAACGTAAGATTATTGTGTAACATATGTACAGAAGTAATGGAACGATGCGTGATGTTCTCCATTTGAAAGTCTTTATCTTTGCTCTGTTATAGTTTTTATTCCATGAAGGAAAAGAAAAAAGGTTTTCTCTTCGTAGCAGATGACTTATAATATCCCTCTAGGTTTTGTATTGATACATTTTTTGTAAATTTCCTATTTATTTTGGCCTGGACTTGATTTTAATCAATACTGAAATTTTATTTTCTAATGATTAATACAGAATAAACTTAATGAATAAACAAACAACTGTGTCACTTATTTGTACAAGAACATGGGACTGCAATTCAGAACATTATGATAACACTTCTGTAGCCACAGAAAGACTTTAATAATAGCTAATAAAAGAGTTTCTCAGTAGATCTATGGGTCAAGGAATCTTTAATTGGAAGGAAATATGAAAAATTTAATCTGATTATATTGCAAGATTAATCTGGGGCTCTGGGATCAGATGATGTAGTATTTAAGAGTTTTAGAATAAAATGCTCACCAAAACTGCATTTATTTTACCAAAAATACAGTAAAAACTTCAATATTGGGAAATATTATTACAATTTAAAATAACGTCTCAGGTTACGTATGTAACCCTGGTTCCTCGAGGGAATGAGATGCTGGGTCGAGAACGCCTTCAGTGACCCACGCTCTGAATTACATGTGAAATCAGTCCAATAGCTGAGCGGGACGTCACGGCGGATGACGTCATGACCGGGAAGCTATAAAAGCACGTGCGGTCAGGTTACGTATGTAACCCTGGTTCCTCGAGGGAATGAGATGCTGCGTCGAGAACGCCTTCAGTGACCCACACTCTGAATTACATGTGAAATCAGTCCAATAGCTGAGCGGGATGTCACGGCGGATGACGTCATGACCGGGAAGCTATAAAAGCACGTGCGGCGGAGCCAGCGTCAGCTTCTAGGAATGAAGCAAGCGCCGGCAGGGACGCCGGAAGAATGGCACCGAGACGCAGCGTCTCGTTCCCTCGAGGAACCAGGGTTACATACGTAACCTGAGACGTTCCTCTTCAGGAACTCGAGCTGCGTCGA